TAAACTTCAGATTTACTTTTGGACCTTAGAGGTGTCATCAATATACAGCATCCAAAAAACACTTTAATATTCCAATGCTATCTAATTACTGTATCTTGATTCCTTCAAAGATTATAGCTGCCTCCTTCATTCTGCTTGAAGTTGCTAAGTAGAACTAATAGTGAAATTAAGCAGTAAACCTGCGGATGTAGGATTCTTCATTCCTAATTTGGCTAATGCCCAACCCCAAACTGGAATACAACAAAACTCCCAGGATTACTAGCAAAGAAACTTGACCCAGATGCTGAGTCCACAAACTCCCGAAATACAGGTTTGCCTTCCTGACTTGCCAGCCACAAGCACTGGAGAAGCCACAATGGACTTGTAAATTAAAGCAAAATAACAAAATGATTGCCAAACTCCACTTCTGTTCCACAAATACTTCCCTCTGGGGGAAGGAAGCTTAAAAAGCATGCACTGGGGAATTATTTTCCTTTTTAATGAGCTCTTTTCAGCCTCATGTGTTCAGGAAAGAGAAGAGCCCCTCTTCCAGAGAGTCAATGAAGAGTAGCTTACAAGCAAGAACTCGTTCCTGGCCAGAGGAAGGGAGTTGCCAGCTCCCTCCTTGGTGCCATGCCCCTGCCAAGTAACAATTGGTAGGCTGCCTCGTGATTTTCCACACTCCAGACTCTGAGGAAGTGATGTTTTTCTTTGTTCAGATAAACCCGTGAACGGAGGAAAAAAATAAATAAAGGAGCAGCAGGTGTGGCCCAATTTACTGCCACCTGAACTTGTAATAGAGAAGCAAAATCCACCTACACCTGCATGTGAGAACAAAGCTCAACTTCATCAGGAATTTGGAAGGGAAAGCCAAGTTACTGGCAATAAGAGTCTGAAATTGCCTTAAGCCAAGTAGCAGAGAAAGTCAGCACAGGCTAGAACACGATGGGACGGATGGGGCATCTCCTTTCTGTCGTTCCTCCCAGCTGCACTGTAAGAGTAGAGATGACATGACCTGAACCCAGAGTTCTCAGGAAATTTGAGAAGAAAACCTTCTGTGGAGCAAAACTAAACTTAAGTATCTTCTTTTTAAAAATGTTCTCACTTTTAGTAAGATTCTATGTACTGTTGAGTGGAGCAAGTCCAGCTCTATGGTCCCCATGAAGGAAGGGAGAGAGTGTATAAAAGCCCTGTTGAGAATAACTCTAGGCCCCCCAGATGGAGCCAATCCTGCCCAGACCGCATGTTAGCAAACCAAAACTTAGATACTTTTTGTGTCCTTTAAACGTTCCTCTTGGCCAGAAATGCAGGATATCCTGTCAATCAGTCCCCAAACGCTAAGCCAACTCTGGGGCCTTTTCACCTCAAACGAGGTTGACTGTGTGGCCCCAGCCAATCAGATGTTTCCGGTTTGTTCCTTCCGTTTTCTTTCTTCTGCCTGACTTCCGGCCCACTTTGCAGTTCTCCGAAAGAAACCTGTCCACTCCGTGAAGTATTAAATAGTTTGTTTGTATCACCTCAGTTTAATCATCTTTCACAGAGCCCAAAGCCCGCATGTTCTGTCTGACAGAGCCACATCAGATGTGCCTCCTTCCTGCAGGGCTGAACGCTGGCTCCCTGTAACAGGCACTGCAGCTGAAGCCTAGAAATGCTGCATCACTAGCTCAAGGACAAATGACTTATGGAAGGAAGGCAGAACCGGAATTTGAACCCAGCACAGTCAAACTGTGAACCTGGAGTATGTCCTTTGTCCTAGTAGTTCCCAAACACCAGCCCGTGGTCTGGCCACTTCCAACACCCACTGGGCAGCATTGTCAAAAGGCCTAGGCCACAGACTCCAGGAAATCTAATCCAACAGATCTGGAACGAGACCTGGGAAACTGGATTGTGTTTTTTCTTTTTCTTTTAAATCTCCTTGATAGTTTTCTGCAGCCAGACTTGGAAACCACTGTAGTATATACTCTAAGCTTTTCCCCCAACAATTAATTAATAGATTTCATGGAAGTCAATTTGCTCATCTTGCAGATCAAAGTATATGCATCTATCACTCCTAGGGAATGTGTCTGATCTTTCTATGAACAATAAATATATTTCCAATTATTTAAAGTTCCAGCATTCCTTGAGTTGGGACTTGAGATGGGGTGCTTCTTTATGCTCAGAAAATTAAGGTGCATCCTTGCGGCTAATCTATCACCCACAATTGTTTTGTTGCAAAACTCTGTTTCCTGCAGGGTTCAAAATTTTCCTTACTTCTTGGTGTTTAAGAATGCCAGGGCTATGGATCTCAGGGCAAACACTCCATTTCTTAGGCATTTTTGATTTACTCTACCCTCTAGACCTTACTTTTTTAAAATGTGGTGCTATGCATCAGTTTTAAACACTTTTCTAAAGTACACTTTTTCCTAAGACAGTTTTTCTCTTGGCTCCTTGCTAAGAACTCTGTCGATCATCTCTTGAGACCTGAGGTGAAGCTTTTCATGTCCTGTGCTCTCCAGTTAGAGGTTCTAGTGTGCCTCTATGTCCAGGGCTCCAAAATTTATTTCTCCTTCTCACCCCTTTTCTGTGAAGGAGTCCATGCTAGACTAAAGTAGGGTGCAGCCAACTGCAGTCCTGGGGCCAAATCCAGCCTGGCATCAGTTTTTGTAAATAACATTTTATTAATTGGGCCCATTCATTTGCTTGTCTATGGCTGCTTTCACACTACAGTGTCAAAATCAAGTAGCCAGAAGTAGACAGAGACCACATGGCCTGCAAAACCAGAGGTATTTTCTGTCTGGCTCTTTTACAGAAAAAGTTTGCCAATCCCTAGACTAAGGGAACATTCCCAGTAAAATTATTTATAAATTTTCCTCTGATCCTGGAAGTATCACCCCAACCACATATGCTGTGAAGATTTTGTTGTTTACTGAGTTTTCTTTATTTTCAATCTCTAGCTTTAGGGCACAAGATATATCTTCTTTTTTTAATCCCATGTTCAGATTACATTGGTTATTAAAGAGGCAATGTTAGGGCCTAAAAACGATAGGCAGTCTTGACCAAAAAAACCCACCATTCTTTACAATATAATGAATCACCTCATTATATGTGTGAGGGGTGGAGTACAGAAAAGATTATTTGAATCTCTATTAATTTGTCATAATTCTCTACACTTAACCTTTTCTCCAGCTACTAAAATGAACCCCAATTTCACCAATAACTTGCATTATTGTTAAGAAAAGTTTTTCTTGCAATTTTCCCCAAACCAGCTTAATAATTGGTGATGGTATAAAGTATATATCTAATAGAGTATTATTAACCCAGGAAAATAAATTTTTAGAAGAAAAAAATCTCATTTCTTTCTATGAAAATAAGAAGCGATGTGCCTGAATAAAACTTATTACTCTCTTCAAATCCCACAAACGCCACTAAAGAAAATCTTCTCGACTTGATATTTAATGATTGCAGAAAAACAACTGGCTTGTAGCTGAAATCTACATGTTTTTAATTGTGCTCACTTTGCCAGCAGCATCATTGATATTTAAAAGTACCAGGGTGCCCTCTTGCGGTGTGTAGTAGTTACTGTTCTTTTCTACTAAGAACTTAAAAGTTTGTTGTGGCCATTAAATTTTATGCATCTCATTTTACAAGAGCCCTCTCTATCTTCCATTTCATTTGTGATTGATTCATATGGAACAATAATCAATAATATATGCTGGGACTTGCAGAATGAACTACTAAAATCGCCCTGGACTGTAATGAAATATGACTGTCACTGTCTGACACCCAGTTTGAGTTCCCAGGAGAAGTAATAAATCTGCCATCCATCTCTGGTTCATAGGACTACTTTGTAAAAGAAAAAAACCCATAAAGTCTAACATTATCATATTCTTGCATATCAGGTGTTATCAAGAACTTCTACCTACTCTGGTTTTCAATTTGAGGACGTGGATATGTACATAAGTGTAAATATTTTTACCAAAGGGCACATGAAAATTCCCCTACACAGAACCAGGCTTTATGAAAATCAAGTTTATATCCTGGTTGCTGGTTGTCTTCTTTCAAGGGGAGCTTTGGGTACCTATTCTGGCCACTTGACTTTGTGAATTCATTGGATTAGAACACAGTGCAAGCCCTATGCATCCCCTGGGTTGTATTTGGCACTTGTGAAACCAATTACCCATTATATATCCTCTTGACAGCTTGGACTTTTTGTCGTTGTTGTTTTTAAATATATACAAGTTCCACCACTATACTAGCTTAACTGGGATCCCCTGAGCAAGTTACTTTAATGCTATCAGACTTAATTCCTCATCTGTAGAATGGAGACATTAATAATGAAAACCTTGATATAGCTGTCATGAGGTCTGGTCACACAGAAAGAGTTTAGTGTCACCATCAGTATGACTTTAAGGTTCCTTAATGCACTCTAACACTATGATGCCTTCGTATTCCCCCTCTCCTTTTGTCAGTCCCCACTTTTCTGGTGTATTTTTAATGTTTTATTACATTTGTCTGTTTGTTTATGTTTGCTTTTGCTTACTGTGTGGCAATGGAAAGGCTAGGTTTAAAAGTGTGGGCTCTTGTTTCACAACTCTACATTTCAATTGACTCATTATTATATCAAACACAGGACGGACTGCACTTTAGGGCCAATACCTAGAAATGTAAATAGTGGAATATCTCTGTGGTACTCAGGTATGAATCTTTGGAAACTATTTGTGTGTGTGTGTGTGTGTTTATTGTTGTTGCTGTTTTTTACCATTTTAACCTTTTTAAAAAAATTTTTGTCAGTATTACAGATGTCCCCCATTTTCCCCCTTTATGTCCCCCTCCACCCCACCCCTGCCCCACTCCAGGCCTTCCCCACAATATTGTCTGTATCCACGGGTAATGCATATATGATCTTTGGCTAATCTCTTCCCGTCCCCTTGGACACTGTTTTTATTGAAGAGCTGAAATAGATCTCCAGAAAAGATGTTTTTAAAAAGTATGAAGAAGTTTAAAAAAAAACAGTATAAAGAGCAATATAATAAAGTACTTACTGTTTGTCCTTTCAGTGGTCAGGAGATTTCTCTGAATTTATCTGGAAGTTTCTAACACAAGTTGCTTTCATGAGAAAAAGCTCCCACATCACAGAACTGTCCATTTTAGAAGAAAAAGAAATATTAAAAACGCTACGATGCTGGACAGAACAGGTGTTCCAACTATTGAAGGTATTTTTTTGTTCACAGCTTTATCAAATAGCAAGAGTGACTTTCTTGGTCAGATCTAGCTGAAAAGTACTTATTTTAGAACCCTCATTTTTGTTTCCCTAGCAATCCTGTGACATCATGTCAAGTTCTTAGGGCCTAAACATGCTTGTTGATTCTCCTTGTATAACTTGTATTTGGGGGTGTTTCAGTCTCCTCATTAGATATAGCAAGCCTAAAATATGCTGGGGGGGGGTACTTTTTAAACAGATAATATTTAGTAAATAGAATTTTTACCTACACCCACCCTGGTATCTACAATTATTGTCTGTTCTAGGAATTAAATGTTGAGTTGCAAGGGATGATCACTATAGTAACTAGAAGGACACTAGAACGTTGGAAATGTGGGGAGATGTTAAATTTAGATCAAAGTGAGCATACGTCACATTATTAATTCTATTCCTAGGAGCTAATTTTCTTCAACAGATCTTCCTTATACACCATGTGAGAGGCCCTTTCCACTCCTTAGTATTAAGAAAAAATTGTTTTTGTTTTTCAAACTATAACTTAAAATAATCATGTCTCAGTGCTATTTAGCTTTCACTATCATAAATAGTACAAGTGTCTTATGTTTTCTAGATTACACTTTTAAGTAACCCTTTTATTTTTTTAATACCAAAAACACACCATCTGACCTGCATTGTGACTGCTGTGAATCATTCAGAGCTGGCATGTTGTAGGATTTTAGTGCTTTTTGTGGCATTAACTTTCCAACCCACAAACAAACAGCCTTCAAAGAACCCAGATGAGATCAAACAGTTGATTTTCCTAGGCGTCAGAAAGAATCCAATCCCACAAAATTAAATGCCTTTAGGAGAAAAAGAGTTACCATGTGTATGTTTGACATCAAAGACAGAAATATCTTCCATCTCTGTTTAGTGTTCCCAAACTCCAGGCAGCCCTTTTTATTTTTTGCTTTTTCTCCATTCTCTTTCCCGACTGGCTCTCCAAATTATAATTAGGAACCTGAAGGATAGATTTGACCTTCACTTGTGCTCATTTTTAGTAATCTACAAAGTCTAATGAAGGACTGTTCTGCTTCTTCACAAATGACTGACTCTGTTTCTTTGGTGTTCCCGACACAAATCTGTGGGGTGTTGGCAATTGTCTTACCAACAGTAAACTCCTGAAGGGGGACTGCGTTCCAACTAGTGCAAAAGCTTGTGTTGTTAGTTACATGTCCTGCTTTGTCCATCACCTATTGTTGTCTAAAAATAAGGCATGCTCATGACTCAGTTTTTTACTAAAACTTTCAGGAGAAGTCGACCTGCCTTGGATTGGGTCTCTGGAAGAGCCTGGTGAAGGGCTATATTTTGAAAGACTGTATTTTGCTTCCAACCAGAATCCATGATAGATCAGGCACCTCCCACTTGTCCGGACTGAGGAGTGAATGAGAGGTGCAGTGTTTCCATGGTGCAACATGACAGGCTGGATACAATTCATAACAATCAAGGCATATCCCCCTCTCTTCTGCCCAAAAGTCCAAGGACAATGAGGTACAGTTCATTACCAAAGAGAAACAGTTCTAGTAACTAGTCCAGACCCACAAGGAATCCAAAGGATGTCCAGAGGTAAAATATTCATTTTCCAGTGAGTTGCCGGGAATCCCTTTCCTCTGCAGGCTCCTTTCTCTCTTCCCTTCCCCAACAATGCCTAGTTCCCTCCCTGGGTGCTGGCTCCATCCTGGGCATGGAGAAGGCTGTACAATTCCTTGAAGTCGTGATGACCATTTCTCCTAACAACTCAAACCCTGTTACACTTGCATTCTCCCTTTTAAGAAGAGGCTTAGGCATTTCAAAATCTTCTAATTGGAACATTTAAAATAAAAATAAACCTTTTTTCTTATAACATTGACCATTGCTCAAAGCATCGTGTTCAATGTGCTTAAAATTTCTTTCACTTAATCTATATTACAACCCCTCCACCCCCGCATCTGAGGTAAAGAAGAAAAGATTTTACATATATGTGTGTGTGTGTGTGTGTGTATATATGGATATATATATATATATATATCCATTCAAGAAGTCCAAACATGAATTAATGCCCTCTTTGAACCAGGAATTTTAGTAGGTGCTGGGAGTACAGAATGAATAATTCATAGGCATAATCTCAGTATCCAGAAATTAACTGGGGGTGCAGTAAGAGTGGTAAACAGACATATAAAAAATTAATGGTGATACAGTCCTGTAACAACTTGCATCTAGATATGAACAAAGTGTTGTGTTAGCTCAGAGGAAGGCACTAGTCCCTGGGAAAGCCTGGATGAGTGGGAGGCAGGCACAAGAACACAAAGGAAAGCATGCACTTTGATTAATTTTCCTGGACTTAGCCTCCCCAGGGCCATTTCGTAGGTGAACATGTGCCATTTTACACAGTAGGTTCACATTCCACACTGCTGCCTAACTATAGTGAAATAGCCCCAGCCACAGAATGTCAAGTGGAGATGCCAAAAGGAAATGGTGACCTGGGTTTGAATAAACTTTTTTTTTTAATATATCTTTATTGATTTATTGAGTAAACTTTTGACGATCAGACACTGTAGGGTATATTTGTTTGCTAGAGATGCCATAACAAAGTACTACCATGGCTTAAACAATGGGAATTTTTTTCTCACAGATCTCGAGTCTGCAGGTTTAAGATTAAAGTGTTGTCAGGGCTTATATTTTCTAAAGGCCTCTCTCCTTAGCTTGGAAATGGCTGTCTTCCTCTGGTGACTTCCCATGGTCATCCCTCTGTGTGTTAAACTACTTTCTTTTAAGGAAGGACACCAGTCATATTGAATTGGAGTCTACCAATATGACTCATTGTACCTTAATCATCTCTTTAAAGGCCCTATCTTCATTACAGTCACATATTTAGGCACTAGGGGGTTAGGACTTGATAAAAATTCTTTCCTTGACCAAACTTTGCTCAAGCTCTTCTGAGCTCTCTTTTTGACTAGGCCTAACCTTGGACTCTCATGCCCCTCTCTGTAGAGCCCATTTCTAGCAAGAATCCTGTTGGGTCAGTTTAACCAGAATTACTCATCATCATCCAGGTGAAATAATCAACATGGTCTGCCTTCAGCAAGAATCCTGTTAGATCTATTTCGGCAGAATCTTCCCTTACTCATGATATTTCTTCTTTGTAATTTTCCATCCACTGACATGCCCCACCCCTACTTCTTGGCTACAAATTCCCATTTTTCCTTGTATTTGGAGTTGAGGCAATCTCTCTCCCCTACAACAAAACCCCATTGTAGCGGTCCCTGTACCTATTGTGATAGTCCTCCTGAATAAAGTCTGCCTTACTGTTTTTTAACAAGTGTCATGAATAGTTTTCTCTTTAATAGATTTCAATATATGAATTTGGGGGAGACACAAGCCATAAGACAAGATCTTGAAACTTCAGGGAAGGTATGGTAAGGAAGCTCCAGCCATGAGCTTCCCCTTCAGAAAATGAGAGAGAGAGAGAGAGAGAGAGAGAGAGAGAGAGAGAGAGAGAG